GTTGACCCTTATTGTTAAGTAGGTCGTTGGTTACCTTCTAGTCGGTTTCTTAGATGACATGTCATCCATCATAGCCAAGTTTAGTCAGTGCGGTCACCTGCTGTTGGTTGAATCGGAGGGTGGCAGATATGGCTACCTGTGCTTTTCTGGAACGCAGCAGATAGCACTCTGTAGACGTTTCCCCGACGTTGTAAACGTTGATGCTACAAACGGCACTAACCGTCTTGGGTAAATAAATTCAGAGCCCCTGACGTTCGTTGTTAAGTTACAAGCATTATACACTCCTTGATCGGTTGGTTGGCAACCTGAAGCTGCTGAAACCGCGTAAGGCTGCTGGGTGCATGAAGCGTCTGATTGCACCAATGCCAGTTGATGTTGTGTCAAAATTCGATTTGTGCACCGGACAGTCAGCCTCTGGTGTTGGATGGCAACCGCGACCAACCACGGTGGCGTTCGACATCAAACGACGCTGTTCCCCATGGTCTCTGCGGCCAGCCAGTTGCCCCTGCTGATTGGTGGTGTCAACGTGATCGACTCCAATATCACAGTTATTGCTGCGGCAATGAGCCCTGCCCGCTGTGTGGAGAAAATCTTCAGGCGCATCCACCAAGTGGGTGCACATGTATCAATTAAACTATTCCCATTAGTTGCCGGTCAGTCTACCTACCGGTCAACTAAACGAGCTTGCTTTGATGTTGATCGTGATTGGTCCATGGAGGAAAAGCCGAGTGTCCCCCGTAAGACAGTCGCAATAAAACTGTTTTGTCCAATTTCGGAGTTGATGGAGACCGGTAATTTGAGGCCCAATTTCTTAGCATACGCTTTGTAGACCTTGCTTTCGAAGACCTCGAAGGCCTCAAATGCTGAATCAATGAACCCGTGGCAATCCGCAGCGATTATACTTTTATCCCTCATCCCGGTAATAGGAATTATGAACCACTAGGTAAGCAAACAAATAAAATTCAATTACATCCAGATGCTCAACTACTGTTCCCGAAGGTTAATTGCTTCCCATTTTCCGTTTCAGAATCCTTGTCCTGTTAAGTGGATAATAATGTTATAATAATAATGTTTATTCCCAACTTGTGGGTGGCATGCCGTCTGGCATGATCATGTGTTTACAGTCAGAATGAGGCATTACTGAGGGATTTGCGGGTAGTGGTGACTGCGCGAAAAAGGGACAATGTCACTAATAGTGGGAGGTACTCGATTAAATAATAATGGTATGTTTCTCTTGCAACTTGTAGGGAACAATAGGCATGAGGTTCGAGTAATTCAGTGACTCAGTTGGCTGACATGAACTAAAACTGGAAAACCATTGCTGGCCGTGAGTGACCTTGGGCGGCTGGGTAAATGGCCGGAGTCATAACAAGCAAAAGTGGAGGTGGGGATGGGATAATTCGAATTGGGAGAACACGGCAGGTTTAGTCTCATCCTTATCCTGTCTTGGTTAACCGCCTAGTGTCGCTGTAATAACTGTGGGAGGAGTTTAT